CTTACAGAATTATGCTATATATACTCTTTCCCCTAATAGTCTGCCTGACAATTAAGGTTCTCTTTTCCCAGTCCCCTTACTTATTCTAAAGGGAAGAAACACTTCTCCCTTTCCCTAGTTCAAACAAGGGAGAAGTAAAAACACTGGCGTCTGTGATAAGAAAGTGAATGGTTCTAATGTAAGTAAGGTTGTTTCCATTTCTTTACCTTTATCAAAATGGAAAGATCTGAATGAGTTGCCATTTGACAAGATGATTAAACATATTTTTGATGCTGGTCTGCCATGTAATTTTTGGCACGCAGTTATGGAAGGAGCTCAAATAAATTGAGTTTAATTGCTTGGGTAAAAATCTGCCATAAGAATAGGATCTGAATTTTTCATCAGCCACATTCTCAGTTTATCTCAAGCCATCATTTTCTTCAAAATCCTAAACTATTTTAAAAAATTCTTATGTTTCTGTGGTGAGGTGTTTCGTTTTTGTGATCGAAAGAAACTATGTTCATTTACTGAACCAAAAGTTTGGTTAATTTGAATAAAAATAAGGAAGTTTCATGTTAAACTGTGTTTCCAAGAATTTGTTCCAATAAATGTAAAAGAAAGCTCAAGGTAAGTGTAGAAAAGCATTATACTTAGTTCTGTTCACAGATATGAAGTACTCCAATACAAAAATAATAGCTTTAGTAGTGACTTTTTCACAGTTTTGCATTATATGAGAATCCAGTTTCTTTAAAGAATGTTATTTCTGTGTAATATTACTCATTCTCTTTAATTACGTCTTAAAAAAAAAAAGACTTTTCAACTTTCGATATTCTTTGGGAACTTTCAACATTCTTTGGAATTTACAGAATAACTTTTTACCTAACCCAACAGATCATAGGAAAAAGTTGACTTTAAAAACATTTGGAATTCCAACTGACATTTATGACAAAGGATAAAAAATAGGTCCTTGATTACCATCTTTTTTTTTTTCAATGACTTCTTAGTGTCTGTTTAAGAAGCCCTATTACTTTCAAGTAAAGAGTTTGAAGACAACCATCTTACGCCATGCTGCTTTCCAGTGGAAAAGACCATATCACTCCCCTGCTTCAAATCCATCTGAAGAGCTGCTTCTTCCAGGAAGCCAATCATGAGCATCCTACGCCTTGACAATGAAAAAGACAAGGGTTGGAGTGCTCCTGAAATCTACTCAACTAATGCTAATTAAAATTACCTCCAAAAATGCAAATTTAAAAAACTAGACATTTTCTCAATGGAGTAGTATATTAAGGGCACTGGAAAACTCCTCTGCTAACTCATTTTGCTACTGGAACAGAGTGATGTATGCCTATAATCATAACCGCTGAGGAGGCTGAGGCCAGAGATTACCTGAACTCAAGAATTTTAAATTTCCTGTAGACTGATTATTCATGAAAAGTTCTAGGCTGTTATATCCCTTGCTTAGTCAGTATGCCTAGGAGAACTAAGTTAACAAAGCTCAGAAATGGAGATGATAAATATCATTACTGAAATAACACTAAACAACAAAAACAAAAAAATTAAAAGTACATTCAATTTTTTCTTCATTCCCTAGGTCCAGACAAAGTGGAATAAGACTTGTAGGAAAGGAGAAAAAATAAACACAGGGACTATGGATGGTAGAATTTTCCCACAGTCACTCTGCTTAACTCCTTCAAATAAAAAAAAAGATAATATCAACCTAATGCCTATTCATTTATGATGTGCCAGTCACTATCCTAAGAACTTTATATTCATCAACTCACTTAATCCCCATAAAACTTCTAAGATAAGGGGACTATTGATATTATTTTCCTCACCTGAGGAGAAAAATAAGTTGTAGAAATAACTTATGCAGGGTAGCACAGCTGATGAGCAGCGGAGATGTAAACTGGCCCTTAGAGCCCTGGGCGCCACGAGCGCGCGCCTAGGGCCATTATACAGAAGGAACGCAGAGAGGACTCTGGGCACCTCAACCAACCAAAGCGACTTCACTGTATCTATTTAAGTGCTGAGGATACAATGAAAGTTTTCACAGTAATAATTCAAAAAAGATTTTCATGTTAAAAAGCAAAACATCTGAAAGTTACAATATCAAGACTATAATCTTAATAGGTCAGGACCTATGTTTAAATGTATCTCACATGTTTGACATCTAGCAAATATTAACTAGATAAACAAACTATATGGCAGCACTATATTCACCAGAAAAATTTAACACTTATCCATACCATTATATCAGAGAAAATCTTGAGTATCAGCATTTTTAAACTGAATAATAACAATGATAATATTAAATCACACTCAAATTGGTGCTGCTTAGTTCTTAATCACAAATGATTAATTTAATTATCTCAAGGCTACTGATGGGTTAAGCATAACCTATGCTCACACAGAAAAAATAGCTATGCTTTTGCACCCATATTTTTAAAGATATTATTAACAATTACACTGCCTAATGTACTAATGCCCACTCATATCTTTTAGAATTACTGAATTAAGATATTACAATTCAAATTATCAGTAGAAAATTCATTTTATAATATTTATTGAAGTTAATGAACTATCTTTCATTTCACAGAAGTTACAAGGAAATTTAAATGGTGAATTTTCTATTTCAAAGCTGATATCCAAAGCAATTAAAAATTATAGATACTTTAAGAAAATAAAACTGAAGTACTAGCTTTTCTAATTCTGAATGTGGATTAAAATTCAAAAGCAGCAAAAATTAAAACTAATTTTTTCTCTTCCCCAACTTGGAAAGTTTTAACGAGAGTAGTTCTTTAAAATACTTTGCTGAAGTTTTCATGAAAAATTTCTCTTTTATGATTATCAGAAAATTACAAACTATCACCCTAACAAACCTCATCCTCATGTCTATATCTCAGCTGAAATGAAACAAAAGGTGAAATATATTAGAGAAGTCAGCATTAGGTATACCAGTTTATTGTAATAAAACTTTCAACAGAAGAATAAAGTAGCAAAATGAAGTTTTTCCCTTAAATATACACAAGGAAGTTCAACATATGCCAAATCTAGCTCAACATAGTTGATTAGGCACAGGAAACGAAAATTGCCTTAGAAGAAATATAGTTTGAATGTAAGCCAGAGACTCTCTGGCATGAATGATTAGCATGAATACTAACTCTTTTTCTAACGGACTCAAATTTTTTATGCTTATACAACTAAAATTTTTACAAAAATCCTATTCTTAATCCTTATGAAAAATCACCAAGGTTGGTTTCCCATACTAGAATGCTAAAACAAAAACAAAACCCAAAAGACCTCAAGATATCAAGACTCCAGAATGAAAATAATTTTGGTAGTGCAAGGATAAGCAGTTGTATAAAAATTAATGTGACTGGCGATTATGAGAAAGGGTTTACTGATACTGATATAACCACTGTTTATATATATAAAACATTTTCCGGAGATGGTGCTAAATATGGCTTTTCAGTGATCAGGCAGAGTAATCCAACAGACACAGAAACAAAATGGAAATGTCTGCCTGTCCCTATCTCAGAAAGCTCAGCACCCATGCACTTTATTATCCAAATTAAACTGTCAGGATAACAGTAGTTTTGGCTTGTTCTTTTCAGATAAGTTACCTTTCTCTTCTTCCGGAAAATAAAGACAAAATATTTTAAAATTAAATTGTCTAACAATTGCTAGGATCAAAAAATTTGGATAAAGTGATTCACATTAAAGTATAAGCAGTATTACTCATCAAAGTAGGTTTAAAGGAACAGTTTATTAAACCTACACAATGTCTGCTTGAGCAGACAATTTACTGATTGGCTCAACTTTAAACCAAGATATCTGGAATTTATCAATTTTACACACTCTAGTGCGTGTCTTAAAAAAGCTGCCAACTCCTGGTCAAGAGTTATGATGGCTAAACTCTAACTTTTCAAGAATGCTATAAAGACAATGGTTAATTTAGGAAACAAGTGCATTAAAGATAATGTACAAATTATTTATTTATCATTTTGAATGAAAAAGAGTCCTATACTTTCTTCAGATAGTCAAAAAGATTTGCGAGTATGTCCTTATCACTCTACATCTGTGTTTAATCTGTATCTTTGGAGGGTGCCTCCTGGGCATAGGAGATTCAGTATTAAAATCTGAATAGAGAACAGAATACTGTAGATTTAGAAATAAAATTCAGAATTGGGGAAAAAAAAAAACCAAAAGATTTGACAAATGTAGGTAAAATTCAAATATGAAAACAGTATACCATTATCTTGGGCTCTTTGAAACACAAAATTTTATTTTAAAAGGGAAATAACCAGCTCTAATTTTATGCACAGTGACAGTGATATTCAAGTATATATAGATCTTGTTACTTCTAAATCAAAGATATCGGTATTTCACAAGTAAAACTGGAAGAAGGTACAGACAATAGGAAGAAAAAGGAAGCTCTATGGAACATACAAAGGGGAAAAAAGGGCAGTGATCTCTTATATCCCCAAATTGAAAGAGCAGTAAGGGAAAGTGATTTATTAAAATGTGTATACAAAATTTCATTAAATTTTATTTTTTAAAATCTTAATTTCACATTAAAGTAAAAAAAAAAATTTAAAAATAATTTTTTTTTAAAGAGATGGACCACTGGTGACCATAAAAATCATTTTCTGAGATTTCCACCCATGTCTTAAAAAACAAGAGATTTCATGTAAAGGAGAGCTCTCACTAGTTTTTTCTTCTTCTCAGAGAGCCTAGGTTTTCTGATTGGTATTTTCTGATTGGAATTATATTTTCCCATGAATTTATACTTCATCTTCTACTATGTGATAATCAATCACATGCCACCTAACTGAGAAGAATAAGATATTCTACTACTAGCATCAGAATGAATCAAATGTGCATGCTTCAAGCGTCCATGAAAACAAAAGCTCTTCAAACATATAATACTCAAGTTCTGACATGTAAAACCCAACTCTATCCCTCCTGTATTACTGGTTTCCATAAAGCACAGGAGTTTCACTTTGTTTGGAAAGACCTACCTGAATAGCTGAGTTCATGAAACACGTATTTCCCAAGTTACTTAGGCCACAGAGGCCTGGTTGTTCATTGTTTCTTCCAGGTTCTGAATAATCATAGTTCTTATAAGCGGTATATGATGGGAGACAATAATTTGAGTTTTTCACACTGGAAGAAAAAACAAAATATTATTCATAATGCACAATTATCATCATATAGTTATAATGAACACAGTACTTTAAACCTATTTGAGACAGGTGGTCAGTTATTAATTTTTTTCTATAGTACTTAACTGAGGTAATTCTAACATGAACCTATATCACAACAATCCCCTTAATTAATATATTTCTCATTCAATCAATAAAATCACTGTATCATATACGACAACAACCAATACAAACCACATTACATCTTTCTACCCTTCATTAACTGGAGCAGCTTCACAGCTTGCTCTGTTCCTCACTGCTCCAACAAATTCGAAAAATTCAGATTTTAAACACCACCCGCAGCAATAAATCATCTTATTTATGTCCCTTTTACATCTTGCTATTGTAATAGAGTGGGAACAAGAGAAACAGGAAGAGTTGTGTTTCAGTTACAGGGAAGAGCAGAGATTTCCAGGGCCTCTGCAACATCACTGTTCTGATGCACTGAAGATTTTATTTATAGTATTCTATGCTAGATTAGCAAAATCTAGTATGCAAATGCAGAAAAAAGTCTGGGATGAGTAGGTATTCAAAACTGAAATGATTCTAAGCAAGTACATTTCAGTATTAATATTATAGAAAGAATCTTCTAGCTTGTTAGATTAAAGCAATTTGTTTAACTAGATAAATACAACCTCAGGATAATATGTACTATGATGAGTACAATAGATAATAATCTTTAAAAAATGATGTAGTAGTCAACCTTTAGAGAATCAGGGTAATTTTATAAAGAACTAAGAAAATCAATAAGCTAGACTCCTCCCTTTTTTTACATGTAATTAAAAATTTGTTTGTGGAAAATAATGGCTTCTTAACTTTTAATAGGTTATCTTATAAGCTATTTATGATGAATGCTTTGGATAAATGTAAACAAGAATCAAGTTCATTTGCTAAAAACAAATAAAAGAACACACTATTACAGATAAACTTGGTAAATCAGTTAACTCTGACAACCTCAATTGGCTACAATTTATTCCTGGTATTATTTTTTCAAAAACAGTTTTTACTTGTAATTTCAAGTAACTTTCCATTATAGCTTCTATACTCTCACTTTATAATTACAACAGTTTAAATGAACTGTACTACTGCCTGTTCTAACAAAACCTTAAGTAAACAAATATGCCCCAACACAAAACCCTATCAACCAATAATTATACACATAATGTTATACCATTAATATTTTTGTATTCATCATAAATAAAAGATCAACTCTTACACTAAAAAATTAATCTACCCTAAACTTAAAAGTAGCAGGGTCCAAAGAAGTGCTTCATAGACTTTTAAAGTTAAAGGAAAAAAAATGGGTTCAAGCATCTTTTGAAGATCACTAGCCTTATAATTTTTATTACCAGTAACTAAGTCCAAGGCACCTGTCAACAATTCAATATATATTCACTTAATAACTGATTCTTGACTCTAACTTCTAGGATATATAACAGAAAAACTGAATTGTGTTCTTCTTTCTTCCCTTTAAGAAGTGCTTAAAATCAAGGCCTGCTATACATTACAAAAATAAAAGGTCTACATTTTCAACACGTTGAAAAACAATAGATATATATTTTATAACTGTTATATTTAATATATGTATATTATATATATCAGCTATAAAATTATAATAAAACAAGTCACAATACAGAGGGACAGTATGCCCAAATGCATGTTCATGCACACACACACCCATATCCACACTGACACCCAAGCAAGTGAAAAGACTAAAAGCACACTTATAAGCTATTCATATTCAGATCTCCTCTACCCCCAATAACAAATGAGTGTTGAAAACTCAACTCTTCTTTGAGGCAAGAGGATGGAGTTTGCTGGGACAGGGATTCCTATTTACTGAAAAATGAATACAAAACTCATATGCAAAAGCAGTGTCTGGTTTTATCTTTTAAGATCTGAATACTTAAAGGATATCTGCATTTTAGTTTAAGTGACAGGATAAGTATAAACCTTGTCCAAAGATTGAGATACTAGTCTAGATGCTCAATGATAATAATGAAAACAAATTAAAAATATTTTAATACTGTCTTCATTGGTCACTTATAATCCACATCTTTTGTGCTCTTTAAATCAAATAAAGTCTGCTGAGGAAAATACCAAAGCCAGCAGCTCTTTAAACACTATGGCAAAGAACAGGCTAAGCCCGAAAGACAGCTTCAATACCTTTCATGATGACTTCTGCTATTTTTTTTTCTAAAGACTGTAAACTAGTCCTTATCCCACAGGGTTTGCTACTTTTCAAAAATAAATGAGTTTGCCAGCAATCTTAATAAGAATTTTAATACTATACTAGATTAATTATGTATTAAAAATCTATCATCTTACATGAATATACATTTAAAAGTTTATGCTTACTTTGCAGTTAATGAAATGATGCTTCCACCAAGTAGTACTTGTCAAAAGCCAGATCACTAGCTAGCTCTGGCAGTCGTTAGTTCCAGTTCCTTTTCATCGCTTAATCTCTTATACAAAGTCATTTCCATTGCAAATAAAAGAGTTTTAAATGAATTAACAGAAAAACAGAATGTGCTCTGATGTGGAAAGCCACGAGTTGAGACAATAAATACATTGAAGAGATTTATTTTTAAAGGCAGTATTACAGCAAAGCAAATGTAGCAAGACAGAAGAAAATGCAGAGAAAAGAAAGATTTTGGCATATATAATGAATATTGTATGAATTAATAAGAAAACTACAAGGAAAACAATATTCAGGCATAATATTAGTCTTTAATAAAAACTTAACCTTTATTAAACTTATATAATTCCAAGTACACTTTGTTATTACTATTATAACAAATATTCTTATTTCTAAAAATGAAAATTTTGTATCTTAATAATGTATCAGTTTAAATCTTGAATTTGTAAATAAATGCCATATAAACTTGTATGTCAGAACTGATTTTAACATGCACTTTCACTGTAGTATATAGCTATATACATGAAGTTTCATAAATGTACTTAAACAATGTTACTACCCATTTACATACTTTCAATGAAAGAAATCGTGCTATTTCCATCTGAAGTCTTAAGCAGCTACTTATTTCCGCAAGTTGAAAAGAAAGTCAAGAAGTAAATTTTATGTGTGATAACTGTTTAGGTAAACATGACAGCATTAATTCAAGTTTTTTCAAGTTAAAAAAACTCATTTCATAAATGTTTAAATTTTGTTCCTTACTAAGAAAGAGAAGTTTTACTTTTAAGTAAAGTGGTACCAGCAACTATTTACTACTAAAATTTCCAATATGAAAGGACTATTTTAGTGTCTAGACAAATAATAGTCATCTGGTCATAGGAGTAGAATCCTTCTGTTCTAAATTTAAGAAACCACTCCCAATTCCCCTTTTTAATATTTTCTCCAGTCAGAGGTTTTTGAAATCACATTGTACTGTCATATTTTCACTATGAGAAGGAAATAAGACAAACACAGAAGCACCAGACCACATGTACTAATATGGCAGCTCTGGTCAAAATACAGTCTATGTTCAATACAGTCTATAACATTGTTCAATACAATGTTAAAAAATCTCTCTCCAAAGAATAACTAACTATAAATACACGTATAGAATAACTAACATGTATAGAATAACTATAAATACATGGAACCAAATTCTTTTACAGTAGATGTGGGAGCCATCTGCAATTGGCCGAAACACAAATAATATTTTATCTCTTATGAGAAAATTATTTTTAATGAATTAAAAGATACTATGTAAAATACAAACCAGATTACAGGAGGATTCCTTTCACTCTTTTGCTTGAGAATAAACATTTTTGAATAGAAGAGAACATACTACATTGCAATTTTGGATATCCAGTGTCTTCAATATTTCGCTATTATACTATAGTGTGCGTATCTTGTTACTACTGAAATAAAGGAATAAATGTTTTAAATCTTGATACAGATAGCAAACTCTTTTCTAGAAAAGTTGGACTAACATTCCAACCAGTCAAACAGAATCCTTACAAGAAAATATATCATCACTTAACTTTTCCCAGTGTGATGGAGGTGGGGGGAAGTGGATGGAGTTGTTTATGGTTTTAACTTACCTATCTCTAGTTAGTGAATTTGAACATTTAAAATGTTTAATTCTTTTATTTTTACAGCCCAGCTACATCATTTACTCACTTTTCTAGCCATCTGAAAAAATTCCTTGCTGATTTTTATAAGCTTGCTTTATTAAGAATATTTGCCCTTTATTGCCATTTCTGGCAAGAATTTTCTTCACTTATTTGCCTTTTAATTTTTATATACCTGACAATTAATACTTTTTAATAGCAATCTAATTTTTCTAACAGCATTTCCTGGATAATCTGCCCATTCTCTATTAGTCTAGAATATTGATACTTTCTGATCACATTAAATTATTTTGTATATAAAGGTCTGTTTCTGAGCTGTCTTTTCTATTCCATTGATTTGGAGGCATATTACTGGGTCAGTACTTTGCTGTTTGAATTCTATCTTTATAACAGGTTGTGATATTTAACAGGATTAATCATTTTCAATGTTTTTCCTTTCCAAAGTTATTTTGGCTATTCTTATATTTTTATAATCCAGATGTATGTTAAAATTGGAATCATTTTATCAAGCCCCACCCTCCATAAGAATTTTAAGGGAACATTAATTAAACCTATAAAGTCAATTAATGGTGCTTTTTAAAAGAGTATTTCACAAATAGTCTCAAGTATTTTTGAAGTAATTCTCTAGAATAATCAGATGTCATTTATGAACTGGACAAGCAGCATAAATATTTAATTACATAAACACTGTAAATCTAATATAGAAGTCACAATGTATACATCCAAGAAGTAAAAGGATGATAATCATTTCTGGATTAAAATTCTTTCCATAATGGACCAGACTAATTATAGTTTTATTTTTATCCTTTCCTATCATGTCAATTTTCAAGGCAATATATCCATGTCAGATGTTATCGTGAATACCAAGTGACTTTCAATCCTTTTTCTTATAGCAATATATTCAAAGGCCCACACTGTCATGTAATTTTTATATATCCCAAGATTCTGAGTATTATTCATGGCAGAGCAAAGGAATTGTCTCTCTAAGCTTTTAAAGAAAAAGTAATTGCCTTTTTCATAAATAAGAGTTTGTATACACTTTTCAACTTTACTGACTGTACCTTCCAACTGAATCACAGATACACACTTTTAAAAAAACACCATATGCTGTCTGTGATTACATGTCTAGTTCTAAAATGACATCTGAAATTCATACTCTTCTTAAAAGTTTGAATTATAACAGACTTCTATATATGTCAATAATTAGCATTTAGAATATAAAATTCTGAAAGTGCTTTATTTCTCTTTTAGTAAATTACTGTAGTGTATGTATTAAATCAAGAAGTTTATACTTCTGCTTGCTTTCTTGTGAAGTTACTCCTAGAAGAACTGACCAGTGATTTAAAAGAAAATCAATTTTAATGCATTAAGACTTTTTTATTCTGAATTTTAGATACAAGAGATTTTTTGCAACCACAATAGGGCGATCAATTAAACAAAGAGTTTTTAAGATTCAGTGCTTACTTTCTGTTGTTGATGTTGTTATAATTATTTGATAGAGATGAAGGAGAGATCTTTGGTAAAGCTGAAAAATTGGATGCACCTGGGGACCTTTAAAAATATGAAAATGTTAAATTAGATAAAAAATGCTGAATTTTGAAATTAATTATGAAATAAAGAAAAGAACTAACAGATGACAATGTATGTAGTAAATGAATGCTGGAAAACAGATTTATGACAAAATCATCATCCTTTGGTTTTCAATTTCTGATGTATTCATTCATATAAAAAAATGGTATATAAGGGAACTATTTTCAAAAGAAATTTATCAAATTAAATATAAAACTTGGTATTATTCTCATAAATCTACTAATACAATACACCCATTTCTGAGTTCAGGTAACCACTACTAATATTTTAAAATCAATAATTTTCTTAAATCAGTGGAATTAAAATACTAATTTTTAAAGGAAGCATGTTAAAGAAACCTACTTGTGTCTCAGTGGGCACCGAGCACACGTGCTCAGTTGCTCAGTCGTGTCCAACTCTCACAGCCCTATGGACTGTGGCCTCCTAGGTCCCTCTGGCCATGGGGTTTTCCAGGCAAGAATATTGGAGTGAGTTGCCATTTCCTCCTCCAGGGATCGTCCCAACCCAGGGATTAAACCCACATCTCCTGCACTGGCGTGAGGATTCTTTACCACTGAGCCACCTGGGAAGCCCCCAGTAGGTACCATGGCATTCTAATTAAACACAACACAGATATCAGAGGATTTACCTATTTCAAAAGTGTAAGGCAAGAGGGATAAAAGAGCAAAGAGAATTCCAAACATAATCCCATGAAGCAGTATTTGGCCAAATTCATCCCTGCAAACACTGAACAGATATAAATCTGACTATATACTATGCACCTCACTAGTTCAGAATCTTTTTGGAGAAATCTCAATTACTAACGGCTTTTAATCAACAAATATGTCTTGAAGGCATGATTTATAATAAACAAATACATGATATACAAACGATTACTTTAAAGTACTTAGAAGTTTCTCAAAGATTTAATTTCTCTTGTAATTTTGTACACAAACTTAATTTGCTGGGCAACATCTAGGCCACGGGCTGTAGGGCCTCAAGAAGTTAATACTTTCAGTCCAGTATCTTAGTCATCAGAAATTCTAAATTAGTGAGGCCTAAAGTGATTACTGTTTTAAAAATTATTTTATTTCTTTTACTCAGGTAACAATGAACAGCAAAATGGTCAATGAATAGGAAAGTATATAATCTATAATATTTGTTTTTTGGTAATTTGAATTTTGCAAAGTGGTGGGTAATAAAATTTTTTACATATATAAAAATTGTATTTAACTTTTGAAGTTTTATGAAATCTTGGTAAAATTTTTTCATTTTAAAGGAGGATTTTTTGTTGTTGTTGACTATATACAGATAAGATTATATCAAGTGGAACTTCTATTTAGCTGCCTTTCTGACAGAAGACCTTTACAAGATTTTATTTAACTGTACTAAGCTCAAAACAAAAAATACAGCCACCAAGTTTTAATACAAAACAATGCAGAAGACACTCTTAAAATGCAATTTTAATATAAATACTAATATTTTAAGGTATTCATTTTAAAATGTTAATAGTAATAAAGAAACATTCTGGCATTGTCTGCCTTCATATTAATAATACTAAATCAGGGAAACAAACTAAAAACACTGAAAATAACTTATTAAGGAGGTTAATTTTTCAAAATGTGATCCATTTGACTATAATTTAATTCAACTCACTACAAGCTTTCAAATATGCAGAAAAATATTCCCTTGAATCTTATAGTAAAAGATTAAGATTATCATAAGATTTTCGTAAGATTATCTTATGAAAATAAAGATTTTATTATAACATATTTATTATATATGGCTACGGTCATATATCATGTGAAATGCCTATATATATATATATATACACATACACACACACACACATATATATATGGTATATACGTGCTGTGCTTAGGTGCTCAGTCATGTCCAACAGTTTGCAACCCCATAGACTGTAGCCTGCCAGGCTCCTCTGTCCATGGGGATTCTCTGGGCAAGAATACTGGAGTGGGGTGCCATGCCCTTCTCCAGAGGATTTTCTGAATCCAGGGATTCAATCCAGGTCCTCCACATTGGAGGAAGATTCTTTACCATCTGACCCACCAGGGAAGCCCCCAAATAGTGGAGTGGGTAGCCTATCCCTTCTCCAGGGGAGCTTCCTGACCCAGGAATTGAACCAGGGTCTTCTGCATTACAGGCAGATTCGCTACCAGCTGAGCTACCAGGGAAACCCATATGCAGGTGGGGAGTGTGTGTGTGTAACGTTTTTTTTTCTGCCCATCTGTGCGTTTTTACTATTCATTAGCAACTCTACTCCAAGACAGTATTGGAATTCTTGCCCCTGTTAAGTCTAGCAATACAAAGACAAAGTTCCTGATCTCAAATAGCTCATAATCTAATGGACAAATGAAACAAGCAACCTACAAAACAGTGTCAGTTGGAAACCAAATCTTAAAACTATAACAAAGTCAAACTTTGTGGGTAGTAACATGAAGTAATTTTAAACTGTGCACAACTGGAAGGGTAGGTGGACACTGGAACATAAGAGTATTCTAGGAGGAAAGAACAGTATGTGAAAATGTGTGGGGCTACAGAAATCATGATGCATTTAGGGAATTATCAATTAACTGAAAGAATAGGAAGTATACAGTGTTAGAAACAGAAGTTAGTAAGGCAGGTGTGATAATAAAGAACCTCTTATGTCCTCTGAAGGAATTTGGATTTTATCCAATTGTGCTGTGGCATGTTGAAAGATTTTAAGAGTATCAACATAGTCAATTTGTATTCTAGAAAGTTAACTCTTGAGGAACAGAAAGAGACTGAAGATTGGAAGAGCATTTAGGAGACTATAAGAACAACAAAGGTGAGAAGTAAGACAGTGGAGTGGGCACAAGCAACATGTCTTGGAGATTCAGAAAACAGTTCTCAAAGTGCAATCCATGGACACTGAGCAGGCTACAAGATCCTTTCCAGGCAGCAGTCCATGAGGTCAAAACTATTTTCACAAAAACACCAACATGTTATTTAAACATTTTCTGACCTCCTTCTCTGGGTAGATATTTGCACCAATAGTACAAAGACAATGGTAGGTAAAACTGCACAGTGCCAAAGACGGCCTTTTATAGATTACAGTGTGAATGATGTCCCCGGAGTTGTGCAGTATGAAACGTGCAAAAACAGGCAGGCAGCCCTGGAGACGAGTCAGAGGATTGGTCAGAGTCCTGAAACACTGGTATAATGGTTTCAAAATAAGAGAATTTCTTTAGGAGATAGTTATCAAAAAGAAGTATTAAAGAGAGAGATCAAATAAATTAGGTTTTTAAAAAGTTCAATAAGGAATCTGCTAAATCCTGAATACGTAATAAGGAATAGTAAGCACTGCCTTTTTAAAGAAGTTGGCTATCAAAGGGAGAAAAACTAAATGATATTCAGAGGAAATTGATGGTCTTGTTTTTAAAGATGGGAGAGATTTGTTTATATGTATCTACAGGTTAGCTTGGAAAAATGATACTGGAAAAGAAACAAAAGCACAAACTAATGTTAACTAGTGTCTACTATACGTGTGGCAGTATGCAAGGCATTTATATACACAGGACTGAGTCGATAATGAAGGAAAAGCAAGGTCAAGGAAACACTCGGATAAATCCATTGGTAGAGAGCTTGCTCTTAAAGAGCATAGAGATCAGAGCTGGATGGATGTGGTCCACAGGTAAATAGAAAAGTTTGCAAAAACTTAAAATCCTGATACAGACATTATTGTTAACAGATCACTTATCTACTGTGATTCCAACTTCTGACCTAGATTACACAAAGCCCAATCTAGCTAATATCTGTGGAATTAATTTAGGGGTTGATTAGTCAATCTGTGGATTATAGCCCAAACACTAACTCTTTCTTTGATATAATTTGAAAATCACACTGCTTATTAGCAACTTTGCAGTAATAGCTTTCTAAAGAGATGAGTGAAAAAAATGCTTAGAATATTATGCACAAACTAGATGCTAAGCCAGTTATCTAGCATTAAACTCATTTTGTCTAGTTAGGGCTAAGTGTAATGTAAGACACTGAATCATCTCTTAACAAGACAGAAAAAAGTAAAACAATAGAGCAGCTGAGTTGATTTCATGAAGCGAGAAAATTAAACTTCACCCCTGACAACTGAATGCAGTATTTTAATTCCCCTATTCCCAGTGTTTCAGCTAAAAGCTGAATTCAAACCAAGCTGAAATTCTTACCTGAACAGAAAAACACAGCTTTACCTAAATATTCAACATACATGGAAATCTAAATATATATTGAGCAATGAAAACATAGAGAAATTAAGCCTGCATACTGACATATCTAATTTAAAACTTTTATTTCAAACATGACATAAAACCCAAATTTTTAAAATTTAACATTAAAAAACAAAAATTGTTAAGAAAAACAAGACTGATCTTAACTTTCCCAATTTCTAACAATCATCCTAAACTAAGTTCTTAGAGAAAATGAAAAATTTAAATCTCTTGACAAATCAAGCACCTTGACTGCTGTGAGATACAGATTAGTTCAATTCAACAGGCATTTGCCTTGTGTCTCCTTTCATGTCAGGCGGCATGTTAAATACTTACACAAAAGAGAACTTAAGAAAATTTACATATAAGTTGCATCACATAACTTAATTTTTGCTTCTCATTTTGACTGCTCTATATGGTATCTGACAAAATATTCCACCTAAAAAGTCCTAAAAAAATATATGCTAGGCTTTTCTATCTATATTTAAACAGATACAAAATCAAAATAGCTGGTGTAACAAAAACAAAAACAATTATTACAGTCACCTAGATGTTTATTATTTATCCTAAATAAAAAGTAGTATGCAGTGGTTTTATTTATAAAATGTTTCCTCTCTCCGAGCACAGCATCCAGGGACAGAGTGTTGTAAAAATATTAACATACCACTATAAGATGAAGTGTATACTTAGTGCTCAATCAGCAACTTGGAATTCTGCTAATCAGAACACAGATGGCAGAGG